GAGGGGTGCGGCGGCACGAAATTCTCCCCCCACAGGACATGGTACCGCCCCCTTAGTGGGCTGAGTGGGTTCCACCAAGCCAGACAAAGGCCCTGGGGTAGATGGTGTCTTGTGGTAGACTCGCGGGTCCCAAACTCTGGCGGATTGCGCACCACCGATTTAAAATGATACAATCTTAAGTACCACCCGCAAATTTTTGTCATATTAAGTAATTATAATAAATCTGTTAACGCGTACCACTGACAGGTTGTCTGCGTCCCACTGGTGGTACCCCTACCACAGATTGGGAACCGCTGCCTTCCACCCAGGGAGGCGGCCAGGAGGGGGCTCCCCGGCCTTGGGGTGCGCAGCAGGAGGGTGCTCCCTTGCCAGTGGTGGGCACAGAGCAGCAGTGCTCCCAGCCCAAACGTGTCCAGAGCCCTGCAGAGGGCCCCTGGCACTTAGAGACTGATTCTGAAATTTGTTGTCACGCCTGGGTTGGACTAGGTGATTTCCTGCGGTTCCTTCCAGCCTTCCTTTTGTACGATTCTGTGAGAGGCCAGTATTTCTTAGTGGGGTAATAGCTTTTATTGCACCCACCTTATAGCTGGGCCTGTATGCTCGTGCCATGGGATAGAGGTAGACATGCTATGCTGTGCAAGCCATTCTCCTTCAGGTTTCATGAGGGATTTTTTTTTTTTAAGGAATACTTGGGGCTTATTTTTTGCCTTTGGGCTTGTGAAAATTCATGGCAGCCATTCCCAAGCCCTCCTCTTGCAAGCCCCCACAACATGAAGAGTGGCCCATCAATCAGGGATGAAATCTTTATAGGAGCTAATCCTTATTTTAAATTGGGTCACCTAGTGCTATTTTCTCTTCCTTAGGAGGAGCTTAAGCCTTTAGTAGGTAATTCATGGGCATCTGCTTTTTACCGCTGCAGGAGAATGATTGTTTCTAGAAATGAAGGCTTCTTTTTCTGCTCCTTTACAGCCAGTTTTAGGTCTTTTTTAAACAGGACAATATTTTTGTTATTACCAAGAGTGTGAATTTAAAGTAATGTAGTATAATCCTCTTATTCTGGTCTAAGTATATCCACAGGGTAGATTATGCCTTTACTGCTGTAGTGGCAAATGTACAACTTTTATGAGTACTAAGTAAATGCTTAGATTGTCTTTAAGGACATTTATTTCTTTATTTCTATTAGGCTGGAAAATCCAGCCCCTAGCTGTGATCAGGGAAGTCACTTTGAAATTAAAAAAAAGGTCCTAACAGCTAATTAGTTTCAGCCAATTCCTATCTCCAGGCACCTGGAAAGTTCAACACTACAGTTATATTTTGGCATGGCCCACACCCCTGAGAAAGATGACTGCCATTGACTTTTCAGAAGCACTCACCTGAAATTACAAGTTTGTTGCTGAAGCTCTCAATTCCCCTTGTTTGACTGAACTACTCAATAGCAGAAGAAATGAGGTTTGGTTGTGAAAGTCATTTTTTTTTCTGGAAACCTCAGTGGAGGGAAAGAAGCTTTTTTTTGTTGAGGGGAAGAAAGAGGAGGAAGAGATGTAGGAAACTAGTTTGCCTGCAGTCTTTACTGGAGGGAAGGGAGAAGTTGCCAGTGATGATGAAGCTGCTGTGATAGATGCATTTGACAGTGCTGCCATCAATGTTCCCTGCTGCTATATAGTTTCCCACTCATAGCACACAAAGTGGTTTTTTAACCAAATTGTAATTACTTTCTGAAATAGCTTCATATATAGCCATGGAAAACAGCTGTGTAGGACAGCTGTGATGCTCCAGCTGAGTGAAGAAGTAGTACCCTTTGAAGTAAAAGCTTCAGCAATCAGCTGAGTGGCCTGTCCTTCATTCAGCACCTTGCTGTAAATTATATGGGTTGTGGACCATCCTGAATGAATGATGAATAATGGATGATCTGGGTTCAACTGTATTGTATCATTCGATCTACAATTTCTTGTATGATTCTTGTATTGTTATTTCCAAGAAACATAATGCCAAAGAAACCAAAGATATCAAAATATTAAGGTTGCAGAGGAAATCCCTCGAAAGTCAAGTAATGCCAGAATAAGAGTTGTCTGAACAACCTTAACTCTGACCCGCGTTCCTATCTGTTAGGACTCTCATGGACCTGCATTCCCCCTCTATGTCTTTTCCCCTGATTTCACTGCAGCAACCACTGTTTCTTTTCACCTATAGTTTCATAGTTGGTAGGGTCGGAAGGGACCTGAGCAGATCATCAAGTCTGACCCCCTGCCATGGGCAGGAAAGAATGCTGGGGTCAAATGACCCCGGCAAGGTGTCTATCTAGCCTCCTTTTGAAGACCCCCAGGGTGGGAGCGAGCACTACTTCTCTTGGAAGTTGGTTTCAGATCCTAGCTGCCCTGACAGTGAAGTAGCACCTCCTGATATCTAGCCTGAATCTACTCTTTCAACTTATGGCCATTATTCCTTGTTACTCCCAGTAGTGCTTGGGGGAACAGGGACTCTCCCATTGCCTGCTGGTCTCCCTTGGCCAGTTTATAGATGGCCACCAGATCCCCTCTCAGCCTCCCTTTTTCTTCTTGCCTATGAAACTGTTGGTCAGCCTAGGGGATGGGAAGAATGACCCTAAAGGTACAGTGCCTTTAGGGTGAACTCAAACCTCCATGCGATCTTACAGTTTCATTTTTTAATGGCTGCCAAGTCCCATTATTTGTGGGCAATTATGGCATGGCAGCATGTGCAGTGACTCTGGGATGCTTCGTACCCATGGCCATGACCACTGTGTGTTAGAGACCCCCAGTATTCTGTACACCCCAGGGGTCAATATTCCCCTTATGGTTACTTTTTGAACTTTCCTGGTCCTCTGTTGCCCTGTTCCTTTTCTAGACATTAACACCAGCACAAGGAAAATGTAAAACACCACCAAAACAGAATGGCAGCTGTATTTGAATCTCACTTTTCCCTCAGTTTGTGCTGAGGTAAAGAGCTATGCAAGGTGATAGAGCTTCAGGATCCTAGTATCCAGAAGTTATCTTATGTCATCTGGGGAGGCAGAATCTGCCCTCAAACCCTCCCATTACTAGCCCATGTACACCTTTGCAGGACTTTTTCCTATACACCCCTTTATTTATCCTGTTGTACGTTTGACCAAAACAAATATGTATGCCAATGAATGGTAGTCAATATTTAGAGGCAGCTTTCTCTGTTCCCAAGTAGACTTGCATTGGGGTGTTAGACTGACCCTCCTGAAGAAGACAAAACTCACTGCAGAGCAGAGGCACCAAACATAACCCTTGTTCTGAGTCCATGCCATTCAGAATGGAGAATGCCTGACCACAATTTGTACTACATAGGCATGGGCCTCATTTATCCAGAGCAGAACAGATTAAATTGGGGCTCTCATTGGCCTGGGGCCTTCAACCCATTGCACATATAAGCAGGGGCGGGCCTTTTCTGTTCCTGCTTGTGGGAGATTAAATGGCATTGGTGAATTAAATGGGGGTGCATGTTGCCTGACTCAGCTTATCTTAATGGAGGATAAGAAGGGTTCTCAGGAAGGTCTTGTTCCTTCTCAGGCACAGCATATTTTTAATAGCAGAAGGAAAACCAGATCCAATATGTTTTTGTCTTTTTCCTCTCATAGAGTCAGTTAAGCCTCAATGGACAGCTGTGCCAATTTCTGACCATTATCAATATGCCCATTTTGCTTGTCTAAATTACAAGTCTACTACAAATCAGAATGTGCACCTTCCAGGCATGTTACAATGGGCAACTCTCCATTGTTATTGACAGTTGGTGCACTCAGTGGCAATGAATATGAATTAGGCAACACATTTCCTTTGCCATCCCCTAGGCTGTGTCACACTGGGCATCTCTGTAATGGAAAGATTAAAAGGAACCTTGTTTAAAATAGATTACAAAGGATTGGCTTGTATATATAGACAGTGCCTAGGGCTGTGGGGGGTGGTTTCTGGGTGGCGTGTGAAATGACAGCACCTTTCCCTCTTCTTGACAGAACAGACTGTGTCTCTAGGCTCACTAGCGTTCTCTGAGTGGGAGAGCCCCCAAGTCCGGAGTACCTGTACATGGAATATGAAGAGGATGATGATGTTTCCTTTGCAAAATGGATGAGCAGTTACTGGGGCCACAGCTTAATTGATGAGCATGAGAAAGAGGGCAGAGGCTTTCGGAAACGTCAGTCCCGAGTGTTTAGTGAAAGGAGAGCTTCCCTTCCGGTAAGAGCTTAATTACAGAAAGGCAGGGAAGGCTGGAGGAAGGTAAGTGCTTCATCAAGGGATACTGTGGTGATAATGACTATGGTACATGCTGCTGAGTACTTCCCATCTGCAGTGCTGAAAGTGAAACGTGCTTGGCCACTCTCAGGAGCAAGCCTTTCCTATGTATTTAAGAAAAGAAAACCAGGAAATGCTGAGGTGGAAAACCACAGAACTGCAAACATAATGGTGCTGCCAGTGTAATTACATGGCGCACACACCTATTATATTATCACAATGTAAACGTTATCAGTGGAAAGCCCTGATCCTGCAAAGACTTGAACATCTATGGTAACTTTACACATGTGAGCTGCCCCATTGTCTTCAAAGATGCTGCTGACATGGGTAACAGTTACATGGGTGTAAACATCTGGGCTTCATTTTGCTGCTCTTCTGAATCAGTCAAAGCAGACAAAGCCTGTTCTGCTTGGCACCAGGATTGCAAAGGTCTCTTCTGGCCTCTGTAGATCTTTGAAACAGAAGATATTAGCTGTAACAACTCTGATTACCACATTGCGAGGGGAATCTAGCTACTTTTGCTGTCAGTTTTCTGCATCTGTCTCTACCTGCTTTTTTCCCCTATCTGAGCTAAACTCCTGGAACTTTTTCCCTGGCACATGTTGCACTCTGAGGTTACTTGCTGTTGGATCGCATCTGATTTAACTAAACATTCCACTTGGTGGTGTTCAGGTGACAGGTTGAAACTGCAGTCCCATTACACCGGTTTAGAACAGTCAGCCAGGTTCATTTATTTTCAGTTACTTTTACACGTTGTGGGGTAGACCCTAGGCTGATGATTCAGTTCTCAGGGATGTTGGGAACAGAATGTTTCCATGCAATCCTTGGTTTAGCATGAGATATTTTAGTACAACAGGAAGCTGGTTGGGTTTGTTGCCTCTGAGTTTTGTCTATCTCAGAATTATATATATGCTATATATGTATATGTGTGCGTACACATACACGCACAAATCCTATAACAGGAATGCAGAAAAATTAAGGGTGCGCTTGCGCTTACATTTACTTCTGCTTAGGAAAGTGCTTAAGCCTTGGTTTGATGATAAGAATGTGCTGAAATCCCTTATTTCACTGAATAGGGATGCTTTCCTGAATCAGGTGTCCTATGGCTGCTACCTGGCCTATCTTAGATTCTAGAGAGGAAGGAGTGGGATTTACTTTCTAGGGACCCTCATTCTGGTCAATGAGAGTTTTGCTATTAAATTCAATGGAACTAGGACCTGGTTTTTATATTGGTGATTTTGAACAAATATAATGTATTTACTCAAATCCAAGATGAGATATTTTTACCATGCAACATGGGGAGAAAAGTCCCCATCTTGGAACTGAATACAAAACAAGTGTGGGGGGAGCAGGCAGCTGCTGCAACTCTAACTCTAGCCCTGACTGGGGTTGGAGTTGGAGCCACAGCTACTGTCCCCTCCACCTACCTCATGCCACCCCTGCCCTCCCACCTCCCTGCCCCCCGCTGCCTCTACCCTGTGTCACCTCTGTTCCCCTGCCTCCCTGCTGCCACTTCTGCCTCCCACCTGCTCCCTCTGCCCTCTCCCCACCATTCCCCCTCCGTCAAGGCTCTGGCCCCAGTATAGCCTGAGGCACAGAGCACATGCTAGTTTTGCCTCCCCCAGCCATGTGGGAGGTGGCAAGTAGTGGGGCAGTAGGCACTAAGTGACAGGGACGAGATGGCAGGAAGGAGCAAGTAGCATGGGAAGCAGGCACTGCAGGGTGGCAGGCACGAGAGGGTATAGGCAAGGGGGCAGACAGTGGGGAAGGCCAGGGCCAGGGGATGCAGGTGCCAGGGGGGCATGCACTGCAGGGGGGCAGGCATTGTGGCAGGGAAGCAGGTGGCAGGGAGGGTGTTATGCTCCCAGGGCGTACAATGTGAATTAAAAACAAGACGGAATCTTATCAGGGGATAAGGCACAACTCTGCATTTATTGGAACATAAAACATGCAACATGAAAAGAATAAAGAACAATAAGGTTATATGCTTCACTCGTTCTCATGCATACTCATTCATTCATTTATTCATTCATACAAAGAAACAAACACACACACAGAAGTTAGACAGTCCTGCAAAGGTTAAGGTGTTACCAAGTTTCAAAGTTGCTCAAGGTCAGTCTGGTGGCCAGCCAGGCTGACCAAGAGAGTTGGAGTCAGGTCTTGTTGGACGCGCCCAAAACTCCTCCTTGCAGGTGGAAGAGACCCAAAGCCTTGTCTTTGTGTTCATTCTTTATAGTAATAGCTGTTCATAGAGCCTATGGATTCCACTGAGGCAGATGTGAAGGCCATCCTTCTTGTCCTGTTGGCAAGCTGGGATTGGTAGGTCATGATCTTCTGGCTTTGTGGTCTGCAATCTTCAGGGGCCATCGCTTGCAGTCTTCAGCCATCAGGATGGAGCATGATTTAGTGTTTGGTAATCCTTTACTGCTGACTCCAGTTCGCTGCAGCTCTTAACCATCAAACCACAGAGACTATTTTCACCTGCTGCAAGAGGCCTGTCTTTTTGTGTCACTGGCACACATGTCCATCATTTTGTCTTTTGTTACCTCTTTCCACATAAACCAGACATATTCACATACACCAGACATACCACTACAAGGGCAAGTGATTTATTTCTCCTAGACTGTTTCCATTATCCAGGCTAGCTCATTTATAGCTAGTTCAGCTAGCTCTACACTGCACCACAGTCTGCAGCGTAGACAGTACCAGTGTCTCAGAAGGTAGAGATTTGTTTGTTGCCACTATAAAAAATTGCTAGTAGAATTTTCTGACTGAGAAACCTCTCAGCAATTAACAGGGTTGAAAACTGTAGCCTCTGACTTGCCTCTAAAACTTGCTACGAGTACCAACACTAATAATGTCTTATCTAAGAATCTTGTCCTTCAATGAGTTCTTGAGCCCAAATCCCAGAGCTCAACATAAGGATTTGGAGTTCAGAATCCGGGTCCCTCAGCTCTAAAATGGGGAACCAGAATCTTGAAGCCAACAGCTACAAATTGGTGGGGGCTTGAAAATCAAGACTTAGATACAAGTTTTGGTGGTTCTGGTCCCACTCTGGCCTTGATGGCAAATTATGTTTGCTTCAAAATGTGCCCAAATTGTGTCCTTATAAAGACTGAGGCCAGGTCTTTTGCTGTCATCACTATGTCAGTGAAACAAGTATCATTCCTGACTGATACAGCTAGGCTACCAGAAGTGTAGGTGCAATTTTATAGGAAAAACCTTGCTCCCCATATGAATTATTTTGCTTGGCAGGGCTGGAGTAAGTTCTACCAGCAACCATACAGTTTTGCTGGGCTGTGCTCCATGTGCTGTAACATTGTGTGGCCATTGCAAGTACCAGCATATCAGTGTCACCATATTGGCAAAGTACTCCTAGGGTGGACTGGTCCACGTTTCGAGTCTGATAAGCGATCCAGATAAGTTTTATAAAGACTTGAGTTGTGCAAGGCATGTTTTTGCATAGCTCTGCAACAGGTCTCAGCTCAAACTTTCAGAGGCATGAGGCATCTGTGCTTAGGCAATTTTATAACATGACTTCCTCTGCTAGTTGCTATAAGAAGGTTAATACTAATTGCCATTTGTCACTTTACAATTTTAAAATACTTTACAAGTATTAAACCTGTGGATCCAGCCTGGGAGGACCCCTGCAGTCCAGATCTGGCCCTGTGCCCAGGGTGAGTTTGACACCCCTGACTTAGTGGGTCACTTTGCAAAGCTGGGAATAAAACCCAGGAACTCTGGTTCTCAGTACATCCTTAAAGTGCTGAACCATGTTCCCAGAGTAAAATTTGTAGCTATACCCTTTTCCAAAAAGTCAAAGTTATATATGTTGGCACCTGTGTCAGACATTTACCTATCCTTGTGAGCCAACAAGATATGTAACGACTGCCATTGGAAGTCTAAGACACCTGTTTTCAAAGTCTCCCTGCCCCCCAGTGAATTTTGATATCCTTTTAAGGTTTCTGAGGTTGGGAACTGTGACTTTTCTTTACAAGTTGTCTATTCCATGGCCCTCTGTTATAAAATATCATCCAGTTCAGGACAATTTCTTTCTGCCCAAACATTCGGTACTTGCGCCCGATATGCACAGAGATAATCAGCCCCTTCCTTCAGTGCCAAACATAAATGTGTTCTGTTGCAGGCATATGCAAATTGTAAAATTTCAACTCTTCAGATTTTCTGTGTGTAAAACTGGAGTCTCATGGAAAGCAAGGAGAGTATCCACTTTCAAGAAGACACTAATATTAAGATACTAAAACAGAGGTGAGCATTTGCTTATGAAAGCTTATGCATCTTTGAATTAGTTAGTCTGCAAGGTGTAACTCTTCTCTGGCTTCTGCCTAACTTGCTGTGGTGGGTTTGAAAATAAAACAACATAGGTGCTGGAGTAACAGTGAGCAGTGTCTGTTGAAGTTACTGGTACTTTAAGAAGCAAAACCAATTACCTCAGACTGAATGCTTGCCTCTCACACCAGAAGGACTCTAGGCTCAAAAAACTTCCTTCAGGCAGAGAATGGCTGGTTCCTAGATACTTAAAAGGAAAGAAAGGAATAGAGATATATTATTTGAATTCTGAATGTCTAAAGCTCTGTGGTTTAAGTGCTCCAAATGTATCCTGTTTATATAGGCTTAACAAACAATGAACAATAATGCCGGTACACTGAAGAGCAGTTCTGTCAGTGGGAGCTAAGGGAGCTCAGTGTCTCAGAGCCCCAGGTCTAAAGGTAAAAACAACAATCATTTTATACAGCAAAGATTAGTAACATATAAGAAAATACTGTTTTATATTCTGGGATATGCTGTCAGCACAAAGTCTGTTGCAACAGAGTAGAAATGGAAATGGTTAGCCTGATTCTCAGTTACACAAAGATCCCTCACACTGCTCTGACACAGAAGAGACCTAAAGTGGGCAGAAACAAATAGTTTCCCTAACTACTGCAGAGGTGGCTGAAAGTCCTGTTTCCAGACCTGTTCCCCGCTGTGGTATAAAGCTCTGTTGTGGACATGTCAGGGCAGAGGTCAGAGTGCACTGCAGTAAGGCTGTCCTAAGCTTCCTGCAGAGCGCAGCATAAGTTACAGTGACCCTGAATCTATAATGCTGGGACCAAGCAGCCCCTTTGGCACCAGAATTATAGATTACCACAACTAAGAAACAGGCAAAGAGCCGTTTGGACCATCTCCAAGAACAATGCTTCTCAACTGTCCTGGATCTGCTTCATTGTTGGGACTACATTTTATGACTCTCAGTTCTCTGAAGAGTCAATTTTAATTAAAGGAATAATAACACATTGTGCTGGTAACAAGCCATAAAACATTCATGCATGGGCAATTGTGTTAAGACTTATGTCCTATACAGATTACAGTCACAGGGGATAGGGTGCATAATGATTATGCTGGTGAGCGGAGCTGATGTTCTATCTTAGAACGATCTTAGTGTGCACACACATTGTAGGAGGACGCCCAACCACAATAAGAGATTGGATGGCTCTAAGAGTATAACCTGTCCTACATTCCACTGAACCACAGAATCACAGAAAAGTAGGGCTGGAAGGAATGTCTGGAGGTTATCTAGTCCAACCCCCCTGTTTGAGACAGGGTCATCCCTAGTCAAACCATTTCATACACATTCTTGTCTAAGCTTTTACTAAAACTACACCCTAAAACATTCAACCCTCTCACATAACCACCCTAACAGGTGAAGCAGGGGACAGCAGCAGCCAGAGTCCTGCTGCTGCAAGCGTTGTTAAAATATGCTCAAGAGAACGAAGAAAGAGGATGCTGAGGTAGAGACATGTTTAGGATGGAGACCTGTTAGCTAACTAGACCAGGGGTCAGCAGCCTGCAGCCCGGAGGCCAGATCCAGCCTGTGGAACTATGGGATCTAGCCTGTGGATGTGGGGCTTCAGCAGCAGTCAGCAGCAAGGAGCTTTGGCCATGGGTGCTCTACCCATACTGCCATGAGGATGCGTGCCGGTTGTGGGTGTTCTCCTCCTGCCACTGCAAAGATGAGTGGCAGCAGCTGGGTCCTAACACCCACTGATCCACCTAACTCTGACCCAGGGTGGGTCATTTCAGCCCACAACCAGAAAAGGTTGCCTACCCCTGAACTAGACTATTATTACCAGGCCTAGTGTGTGCATTTCAGTCTGTCTCTTTCTTTAGAGTTTTTTTAATAATTGCATATTGTGAATGTAAATTAAAAAAAAAATGTAGAATATTTGCATATATTACAAAGGAAAAAAGGCAAACTATAATCTCAGATTTTGCCTGTCCTGCTGTTGTTGCTTAAATCTCCCAAGAACAGATTCCAGATTTTTTTTGCAATAATTGTTACATACACCCTTTTCTGTAAAGACAAGAAGCTTGGATTTTCAGGAAATAATATATGTTAACACTATTAAATCTACATGAAACCTGAATTTTTGTTTAGCTTTCCATGGCATATGTACTTTCCCCCAAGCATAGTCTGATTACTTTGATGCTTTTTAAAACCATAATACAATATGACCTCACAGTAAATACAGCCATATTGATCTGTATGAAACTCCATTTCTAAGTAAAAATAGTTTGAAAAAAATCATTACCGCTTCTCTCAGAGGGAGTTATAATGTACTTACTGAAGTAAGATGAATTTGGAAATGAGGGCTGAGACTGACCAAAACCAAATACCCTCAGATCCATAATAAACATTTGCAAAAAGGACAAAGATTTGGAGAATTTTACTGCAAAAAATGGATTTGAAGACATTTGCAAGTAACAGAATGCTATATGCAGAAAGTCTTGAATACACCAATCAAAAACACTGTTGTAAGAAGTCAAATAATAGAAGAAGATTCCATTATGGCTCCAAGAGCTAGAGTGTTGCAAGAGCTGGAAGCAGCAGCAGATCACATGAGCGACATTAGCTAGGCCTTTTAGCCCAATGGGCCACCTAGATTCATGTGACCCTTTGACATTATTTTGTCAGGCTTCTGATGGGAAACAATGGATGCAGGCTATAATTCTCAGAGATACAAATCACCCAAAATATCAAAAGCAGTTCCTGGAAGCTGCAGATTCTGAGCACATATGAAAATTAAGTTCCTAATCTCTCTGTGGACTATGGGGTTTGGGAAATCTGAGCTCTCCAGGTGTTCACTAGAGCATAGCTAGGGACCTACTCAAATTGCAAAATTTGGGGAGGGAACTTACTAAAAATACAATGTTGGCTCCTCAGTGGGAACCAGCAGTCCTCATGACCGCTGCAGCCTGGCAGCGCAGCCCTCTGGGGGAGAAGTGTGTGTGTAGCGGGGGGATGCCAACAGAAGGGGAGCCAGCAAGGTTCCTGCTGCCCCTGCCCCTGCTCCTGGCTGCTGATTGACTAAGAGGGCTGCCTGTTTTGTGGCCCTGTCCCTCTCTTGGACGAAGAGATAAATTCTGCTTTTGTTTCCTGGAAGGTCCTGCTGACAACATGATTCCTGGGCGGCTAGGTTAGGTCCTTTCTTCTGCACCAGTGTTTAATGTAGAGAATGGTGTGTATGTTCTGCTTATATGTAACACTGAAGCATGACATATTCAATTGTAGGCCAAGCTTTCATCTATCCACATGACGAGACTTCGTGAGTCAACAAAGGCCCCGTCCTCAAGTCACCTGAGAGGCTGCAAGGAAGTACGAGAAGACCAAGATATGAAATGCCATTGTCATGTGAAGGAATGCAGAATGCCTTCCACGGAGGGCCCCTGCCCTGAGACAAGAGAACCACACAGTAGAACAAATTCCATCCAGGAACTTTCAGAATCCTTTAAGAAACAACTGCATTTCAAAAGCAAACGCTCAATTTCTTTGGTAGGTAGCAATCATGAATAGATGCTTAGACCATTAGCTTTCTGGTATAATCCTACTGACCTTTGTGGAAATGCATGGAATGAATGGTAGTCTTGTAAACTATGTTATCTTTCCCATTGCTACTGACCTGTTTAATGGTCAAATGTATTGCTAATAAGGTGGCCCCCACAGCATAACCATTTTCTATAACTTATTGCCTTTCTTACATGGATGAAGTATCTAGTATCAGTAGTTTCTTACTTTCCTCTATATTCTAGTTCTGATTACCTGGATTTTAACACTTATTCTCCTAATACATGGGCTACATTTATAAAATGAAGGAGGATTAATACTTAGAACTTGTTTGTATTTTCAATGTCCTTACATAATAGAGGCATACTGTCACCTTAAGTCAGGAGAAGGTTTTATTTATTGCTGTTGCAAGTGACACTGAAGCTTACTAGAACTGAATACAAAGAGGGGGAAATATTTTTATTTTTCCACTTTGTTTACTTTGCATTAGAAAGTAGCAAATTTCAGCTGTGTGTATGGGTCTTTCACAAAGACACTGGGGAGAGAAAAACTTCTTTACTGAAGGAAATGATTGTGAAACCACAACAGCTGTACAGAGACTGAGAATCTGACATGCCTTTAACTCGTTTTTTTGTCCTTTTGATTTGAAGTTGCTGACATCCTTTTATCAATTTATTCTCACAAAATCCCTGTAAGTAAAAGGTAAATATTATTGTCCTGATTTTACTGATATAGGCAACTGAGACGCAGAGTTTAGATAATTTTGCCATAATCAATGAAGAGTTTTGTATCTGAGATGGGGTTAGAGTTCAGATATTCTGGTAACCAGTCCTGCATGCCAAGAAAAGCCAGAAAAATGGATGGTTATCATACCTTTTCCAAGATACCTGATTCAACAAAGTTCAGTGGAACCACTTGTATACTTTTACTTAGGCACCTGCCTAGGTACCTTGCTGAATCCAACCCCAAGAGGGGAGAGCCTGGCTACCCTATCTCTTTCAAAGATGCAAGTTGTTTTAATAGTACTGATTACATTTTCAAGCTGCCATCTCCGAGGCTCAGGTCCTCATCTGGCACAAAATGGCATTACTCCGCTGAAGTCAGTTTGGTCATGCCAATTTATACCAGTTGAGGAGATAATCCCTACTTCATTAAATGCTTGCAAATATCCTTTGATTTGGTGACTTAATAAAAAATAGGCAATGACATATAGAGGAGAAGGGGCGGGCAGTGGGGACAGTAAGAGCTAGATCATGTCAGGCCTCACCAGGGTAGTTCAGAAAAGAAAGCAAACATGTCCTTCCTTTGGTATGTGCACCTGGTCAGGAACCAGGCACACAATCACACCCCTTTCACTCCCTGATCACAAGGGCTACGCAGAGTCACAGTGTGATGACAGTGCAGCATGTACATCTTGGTAATCTGTTTTTTCCCCTCATGAACTGTGAAACTCAAATTTTCTGTCCCTGAGGACCCCATTTCCTCTTCCTCATGTAGCCATTTTTGTTTGTTTATTACTTAGCAGATGTGTCTATAGCTAGGTAGTCTGTCAGTATAAGCTATAGTTTGGGTAAATATCCCACATGATTCTGCTTTCCTTCTTTATATCTCTGTGGGACATACCCAAAGTATATGTTAGGTCACTTCTTAGGCAGCAGTGGTGCCAAATGCTCTCAATTCCCATCCAACTTAGTGGGAGCTGAAGGCATTCAGAACTTTGCCAGGTCAGACATTAGGCTTCACAATGCTGAGAGAGAGAATTTCAAACTTGGAGCTTCAAATATAGGCAGGAGAATTTCCATATCTTTGACTATTGTAAACACTCTGGAAGTGGAATTCAATAGAGAGAAGAAGGGCCCCCTTTCTATCTTATTTTCTGTGTATCTCTTCCTTCTTAAAAGTTGCAGAGATGACATCTGGTAAACTTCAATCTCTGAGTTCAGTGAGGTTTTCAGAAGCAACAGAGAACATCATCAAGACACATGATGAATGGTCACATGAGAAAATAGCAAGACTGGCGCTAGACTGAAATAGCAGAACTCTTCCTGCAGGGCCTTCAGATAGATGTTTTCATAGATTTCATAGATTTCATAGACATTAGGGTTGGAAGGGACCTTGGAAGATCATTGAATCCAGCCCCCTGCCCGAGGGGCAGGAAGTCAGCTGGGGTCATAGGATCCCAGCAAGATAAGCATCCAAATTTCTCTTGAAAGCGTTCAATGTAGGTGCTTGAACCACCTCCGGTGGCAGGCTATCCCAGACTTTGGGGGCTCGGACAGTGAAGAAATTCTTCTTTATGTCCAGCCTGAAATGGTCTTGCAGGAGTTTATAACCATTTGACCTTGTCATCCCTTGGGGTGCTCTGGTGAACAAACGTTCCCCCAGATACTGATGGTCACCCCTGATAAACCTATAGGTGGCCATCAGATCACCCCTGAGCCTGTGCTTTCCCAGGCTAAAGAGTCCCATAGCTCTCAGCCTGTTGTTGTAAGGTCTGTTTCCTGACCTCTGATCATGCGCGTGGCTCTTCTCTGGACTCGCTCAAGCTTCTCCACATCCTTTTTGAATTGTGGAGCCCAAAACTGGACGCAGTACCCCAGCTGCGGCCTCACCAAGGCCAAGTGCAATGGGAGAATGACGTCCCGGGATTTGCTTGAGAAGCATCTGTGGATGCAAGCCAGCATTTTGCTCGCTTTATTGCTGCAGCATCACATTGAAGGCTCATATTCATCTTGTGGTCAATCATGACCCCCAAGTCCCTTTCATTCATAGTGCTAACCAGCGTAGCACTGCCGAGCCTATAAGGATGCTGCAGGTTTTTCCTCCCAAGGTGGAGAACCTTGCATTTTTCAGTGTTAAACACCATCAGGTTCTTGTCTGCCCATTTCCTGAGCCTGTCAAGGTCAGCCTGGATCATCCTCCTGTCCTCAGGTGCGGATGCTTTACCCCGGAGTTTGGCATCATCGCCAGACTTGGTTAGTCCGCTTCTGACTCCAATGTCCACATCATTAATGAGGATGTTGAACAATATAGGTCCAAGGACAGAGCTTTGGGGAACCCCACTGGTCACAGGGCACCATGACAATTGACTTCCGTCAACCACCACCCTCTGGGTCCGACCATGGAGCCAATTCCCCAGCCAGCAGATCGTGGTGGACCCGAGGTTGCAGTTGGCCAGTTTTGCCAAGAGGTGATCATGGGATACCAGATTGAAGGCTTTTTTGAAGTCAAAATATAGGACATCAATCTCTTCCCCCTTGTCCAAGTGATAGGTCACCTGGTCATAAAAGGAAATAAGATTGGTCAAGCAAGACCTACCCGCAACAAACCCATGCTGGCTATCCCTCAGGATGCTGCCGTCGGCCAGTCTGTTAAGAATGGCCTCTTTAATAATCTTTTCTAAGACCTTTCCTGGGATAGAGGTCAGGCTGATGGACCTGTAGTTAGCCAGGTCTACTTTCCTCCCTTTCTTGAAGATAGGCACCACATTGGCCTTCTTCCAATCTTCAGGCATTTCACCAGAGCACCAGGAGTTCTCAAAGATCCATGCCAGGGGCTGGGCTATGATGCTAGCCAGCTCCTTGAGTACCCTGGGGTGTAGATTGTGAGGGCCGGCTGACTTGAAGGTGTCCAGCCTCTCAAGGTGTTCCTTCACTAGATCAACGTTGATGGAGGGCAGGGAATCCCCCTCATCCCCTGTGCCATGATCCCATCCAATAGGTACAGAACACACCAAGAATATAGGGGAATGTATTTTACAACCTCCTGAGATCTAGGGTAGCTTTTCTAAGGCTCTGAGTTTGAACCAATCATGTTAAAGCTGATTTGGCAGATGTAGGTGTCCAGTAGGGCTGTGTGAAGCTTCAGTCCCTGATTCAATTCGGCGGAGATTCGGCCCAATTCAGTGGCCGAATCTCTGAATCCAAATCAAATCAGAGGACCCTTTATTCTCTTAGAATTGAATTGGAACCCTCCAAATTGATTTGGAGAGATTTGGAAAGGTTCGGAGATTTGGACATAGACACAGCTTTAAATGTTTTTTCTACATACCTCTAGGTAGCAGGGGCTTGTGAATGGTGTGATGCTGGGGCGCATGGAATGTCCCACAGAAGCATGGGGGGCTCCTCAGCATGCTCCCCAGCAGACCCAAAAGTGGACTGGAAGTACTTTTGGTCCCCTTCTGGGTTCACTGCCGAGCACATGGAGGGCCTCCCCGCACTCCTGTGAGACGCTCCATCCACCCCAGCATCGCAGCATTCACAAGCTGTGCTTGCTACCTCAAGGTACGTAGAAAAAACTTTTAAAGCTGTGTCTATGTCTGACTCTGTGATTCTCCAAATCAGCATCGAATCTTCAGGTTTAGATTTGGCCGAATCAAATCAGGGACAGTGATCTGAATCAACAAATCGAATCACTGTCCCTGATTTGGGCCGAATCTGAATCGAATAGGGCCAGCTTTGCACACCCCTAGTGAACAACATTTTTCCATATCTTTTTGCTGATTATGAGTTTTCTTGTTATTTGAGGAGCAATTTCTAACTTTTCTGTATGTTTCTGTTTCAGCCACCTGAGGGCATGATGGAGAGAACAGAAAGAGAAAGACTAGGCATACCCAAGAGCAGGTCTCGCAAGAAAATGGGAGAAAGGATGGAGCCAAAGAGAGGGAAGGAAGAAGAAAGCCCACAGGCCTCTGGTGGAAAACACAATTAATGGTCCCCATCACATGCAAGCATTCAGAAGGGCTGTTTCTGCCTAAACGGTTACGGTGCATTGGAGTTAATACCTTTTTCATTCTAACTACTTTTGTCATTTTTTTGTACTAGAAAGAAGCTAGTTAGTTAAAGCAGACCCTAAGTTTTAAAATAAAATTAATGTGATGGGACCACTGACATTCTGTTTCTACTGTCCTGCCTTTACATTCACCATTAGAAGTGTGATGCATGTTTCAGGGAGAGATTGTGAATATATGGATCAAGATCTAAGTGAGCACTGTATGATTTCAGTAAGTTTCAGCATGGCAGCAGGATGGCAGTGCACAAGCTCATTTGGGAGAAGAATACACTCAGGTTGTGGGCTGTGTTACACCCCATATCTTTTCACTGTTATTAAGTGGATATTTTCTTTCTTTAAGAATTCTTTCTCCACAATTTATTGAAGAAACAAAATCAAAGGAATTTAGAGTTTTAACTGAGTACACCAATTGCTTTCTCTAAATCCAGGCCTCATTGATCCACCATACTACCCCACCTTTTAGTCTCCCTCAGCATTACCCTCTACCTCCCCTCTTCTCTGTCATCTCACATCTCACCCATAGCCCCACTGTCGATTCCTCAACCCTTTCTGTTCCGACATTCCTTTGACTGCTACCCTCACTGACCACCTCAGTTGTTCCCTCACTGGTTCTCTTGCCAGGTCCCATTTACTGCCTCACATTGCCAATCCACAGTTTGTCTCTTTCTCCTATTTTAATCCTCATTGCCTCACCTTTGCTGTTGCCTTTCTTATGCCCTTTCTTATTCCCTATTCTTATGCCTTTCTTATGCCCAAAACTTAGTTAATGGGGCCCTACAGTCTTTCTGGGTGCACTACCCAGGGGGTGATCAAAAGAAGGCACTCCTCCTACTGCCCAACAAAGAAGGAACATTAAGGCAAAAGGTAGAAGACATTTACCAGTCACCCTACTTTCATGGCTGGAGCTTCTAACTAAGAACTTGACAATGGCTGGTCCCAGGGAGCCTAGGTCTGTGCCCATCCTGCCCATATACTGGCCACCCAAGTCTGATGATGTACTTCAAGATCAAAAGTTTGCTAGTAAAGCTGTTTCAGACTTGTCCCCAGAAACTAGGGGCTTGAGAGCAGACTTACTGGTGTATTTCCTGGTCTGAGGAATGACAGCTGACTCAAGTGGGTGGAGGATGCCTAGTTCTGTCCTCTCTGGGACACAACGCTGCTGCAATATGCATAAACCCTAGGGGTGCTGGGTCCTAGCTCTGCCTTCTGCAAGCAGGTCCTAGAGAAGCCACCTGTGCTCAGGTGGAAATCCCATCATGTTTGAATTAAGAGTTCCTTCTGGACACAAGAAAGCTAGAGTGACGGTGGGCCTTCCCTCAGCAGAGGAGCCTATGTCATTTATGGGAAGGCCTAGCTTTTCACTTTGTTAGGTCAGATGAAAGACTAAGGCCATTGCAGTCAAAAGTCAAAGTTGTTGGGGTGCTCTAACTGTGACTTTTCATAAATACCCCAAATATTGTTCCTTCGCTTTAAAACAAAAACTTAACTCTGAGTTTCCAAACTTAAAGTTTAAGGTATCTTTAAAGCTTTTCCAATTCCTAGTTCCATCTCAACATTTTAGTTGCTTGGGAATATAAGAAAGGTGACTGAACCCTAGCTAATTCCTGCAACATATACTTTTCCTTTGTACTATATACAATAAATAAATATGACTGAAATTTTTCATTTACAGGTGTTATTAGTGGGATCTTTTCAGGGTCAGATTGGATCTTCATTAAATCCTTCTATCAAGCAAAACTTCCATGAAGATGCAATTTCTTCTAACTAAAATTTTAACATGACATTACAAAACAGTTTAGGGCAGTGGTTCTCAACCTTTTTTGTATCAGGACCCATTTGTAAACATTGATGGCCAGTCCCAACCCAGTGCCCCTCACTCCTGACCCACTGCAGCCCACAAGGGAAAAGCCATGGTTTCCCACATTGTTCTCCTTCCAAGGAGAATCCATTTTTAAAGTTCGTTGATCCATTTTTAAAGTTTGTTTGAAACCTTGTCATCTAATCTTGTGCCCCACTTTTGTATCACGCCTCATGGGTTGAGAACCGCTGGTTTTTGGGCACAAGTTGTTATGGCTGTTGTCAACAGTCAGCACACTCCTGAGATGAAGGGTTTCATTCCCTTTGCCTCTCATAAGGTTGGTACTACATGGTTTGACCACTCTTTGATTGTGTCTCCAGGTAGCAGCCCTCCTGTTTTCCAACCAGATTAACTGAACAAGTCTAATCATATTTGGTCCATCTAAGAAACCTCTATCAAGGGACCCATCACAAGAGGCTAATTTAAGAGACTCAAAAAAACTTCTTCAAATCAAGCATACAGTTTATACAACAAGATGTACAAAGAAGTCAGATAGAAGTGTTAAAACGATAAGTATTCTACAGACCTGTCTTCCTTTATCGTGAAGCTTACCTTGATGCTTCCAATGTATTGTTTAATCAGCATTATTAGGAAGATAGATCACATTGGAGTTACATATTCATATATAACTGATAAAGGCAGCATGAAGAATTCTATATCTAATCAAACTGTAGGGACAATCCAGGGATATAATTATCCAACTGTGAATATGGTCAGGGTGAACATTAACATAGAAAGTGTCAGGTGACCTACAATAATCACAAATAAGATATTGGAGGACTTCCAGCACCTTTTATTATGTTGGTTCAATATTGATTTAGAGGGAAGAATGCCACTTCTTGAAGCACTTGGGGTTTCCTTGGAAGCCTCACATATCTAAGTAATTTCCTTGCCCAAAACGACTTAGTCTTTGTAATCTGAGAATGCACAATGGTATGGCTGCTGGCCATAAATCCAGACTTGAATTAGACATACAGTGGAAGAATTAATGGACTGCAAATTGCGGGAGCTTAGGAAACTGATCTTCTGGAAAAACTAAAGTATACATTGCCTCAAAATGTTCATCAAAACTAATTTCAAAGGACTGAGCTCGTTTCAGAACAAAAGCTTCTACCATAAGAGATAAAAAAGACCTAGCTAGCTGCAGTAGTAGGTTCTTTATTTTCTTTATGGGTCAGCTACTAAAGGGTGACATCACTCACCAGAACAGTCCAGCTTCCCAGCATACTAGGGATAGGTTATGTAATGTTCTATTAAAATAATCTCCTTTACTGTACTGATGCCATATAGGACTAATTTACGGGAAGAGATACAAGATAGCAAGATATCAAGAGATACATATAAAGTTCAGGCATTGTCATCCTGAAAGCAGAAGCCATTTGAAACAAGGTGATTTCTAAGAGGGATCTCATTTAAAATGATATCTAATGTTGCCAGCTACACTTTTTGGTTTGTGCCTGTTCTGGATCAGAGCAGAGAAAATACACCCCGAACCTTCTGATGTATTGTTTAATTGTAGCATTGCTAAGAGGATAGATCGCAGTTGGACTTCCTATTCATACATAAGAGGCAATTGGCAAGGGCAGCAGGAAACAATCTATACATGTACAGTTTTCCCTCACTTTATGCTGTACATGCGTTCCTGGAAAACAGTGCATAACTCAAATTTGTATAAAGGAGACTATATTTTGGTGCATGTCACTCCCACAATGCACTGTACAAAGCAGCAGATTGTGGACTTCCACCATACTGATTGCATAAGAGTGAATTGACCTTGCATATAACAAATTTTTGGTATAAAAAGGGTCATTGCATAAGAGCCTGCATAAAGCGAGGGAATCCTGTATTTATACTCTAGCATCAGCAAATTGAGGGAAAATACATTAACCCCCCCAACTACTCAGAATCACTAAATACACAAATCCAGCAGAATATGAAATAAACACACCCACCCCACAAAACCAAAACAACAACCACCCCTTCTATCAAATATGCAAAACACACCTCTCCTTCTTGCATTTGTTTTTTATATATAAAAGAATACTGGTATACACCCAGTCAGGATGCACTATTATACATAATTTTCCTTTGAGTCGCTCACTACATACAAACAGACTGCCTAGTATTACCACCCCCTGAACACTAATTGCAATCAAGAGACCTACAAATTATCCCATTTTCTACTAAAGCCCAGAAAAGCAGATGGGCCAATCAGCATATCTAAAAGGATAAGACATCCAGAACCTAGTAGACTAAGGAGGGAAGTAAACTCCCAAGTCAAGTAAGGTTCACAGAAGAAACCCTGCCTACTTCTCTCTTCCTTTAATCTGGATAGAACTCCACCTAACTCTCTATTTCAACAGATGAAGAAATTAAGTTGTTTTCTAAAGTGTTTTTAAACTCACTGATACAACACTAAGGGGCTAGTTTTCATTTACACAAGAGCTGCTTTACACTGTTTTAACTTGTGCCCGTGATAAGGTCTTTTGACATTGCCAGACAGATATAAAATGATGTTAGGGTCAACAACTGGAAGTGGGACTGTAGCAGGGCACTGGGTTGCACCTGCTCATTTAGGAAGGGAAACAAACTGAGAGGGAGCTTGCAGGTGGGGGTTGTGTTGTACGCACAGGGCGTACAGTATGAATTAAAAACAAGCGGGAATCTTATCAGGGGATAAGGCACAACACCACATTTATTGGAACATAAAACATAAAAGGAATAAAGAACAGTAAGGTTATCTGCCTCACTCAGTCCCATACATATTCAGTCATACAAAAGAAACAAGCACACACACAGATAGTCAGACAGTCTTGCAAAAGTTAAGGTGCTACCAAGTTCTAAAGATGCTTGGGTCAGTCTGGTGGCCAGCCAGATTGATCACGAGAAATGGAGTTAGGTCTCGTTGGACACTCCCAAAACTCCTTCTTGCAGGTGAATAGACCCAAAGCCTTTTCTTTGTGTCCATTCTTTATAGTGATAGCTGTCCATACACATGTATGGAGTCCACTGAGTCAGACACGAAGGTCATCCTCCTTGTCCTGTTGGCCTTGTCATCTGCAATCTTCGGGGGGGTCATTGCTTGTAGTCTTCAGCCGTCAGGGTGAAGGCATGATTTAATATTTGATAATCCTTAACTGATGACTAGTCGCTGAAATGTTTAACTGTTAAACCACAGAAGGCTATTTTCACCTGCTGCGAGAGGACTCTCTTCCTTCACATTGTCACATACATACATCATTCATTCTTTCATTACTTCTTTTCAAACATGCCAGACATACCACAGACCTTACATAAGCATTTTTCTTATACGAAATTTAAGTTTTAAAATCATGAGACCAATAGGTCAAATATAGTTATGCTAAGCAATAGGAAATTTAAAATAGATGGTTGATTCCAGAACAATCATGACTGATTAAAATATTATGAAAAATAAATCATAACAAGATTAATGATAAAAAAAGCAATATAAAGCAATTACAGCTATTATAGCTACTGCAATACAACAGAGCCAGGGGCCCTGGAGGTCTCTACTGGCCCAGGAATGGAGCCAGAGCCCAGGAGGGGCTACTGCCAGAGACTGATAGGCTGACAGTTAGGGAGGTGGGAGCCTGGAAGCCATGTCTGATATTGTGGGCCTGGGCCCTGTGAAAGCATAAGGGGAGGAAGGTGGTAAGGCCAAGACCCCTATAAGGTGAATGACTATAAAATAACATCTGTGAGACATAGGGTGTGGTATAGGGAAGGACAGAGCCATGCAATGATCCCTTAGGGCTACAGGTACCTTGCAGGGGTATGGACAGACTGAGAGGGTCCATTGAGCTTAAGGGCTGCAGTGAGACTGGTGGAGTCCAAGAAACTTGATTGGACTAAGGCTCACTCTAAAGCCTGTGGGTAACCTGCCTTATTTAACCTTCATTTAAGAACAAAGGTGTGATGGGTAAGCAAACAAGGGAGGGCTGCGTTAGAGACAGAGCTGAGCAAGAGGGGGCACCACGGCCACCC